TGCATAACGGGAAGCATTTAGATTTTGCAGTTAGACCATATGTTGACCCAGCTTTGTCAGATGACTTGTTATCTAGTTAGCTGATTAAGACCAGTAACTTGGGCAAGTTACTTTGCCCCTCTGAACTTTAGTTTTCTTATCTATAAAATGAAGATTATAATCTAGCTTTGTTGAATCAGACAAAAGTATAAATGAGATGCCTAAAATGAAGTAGTTGCCCAATAAAGATTAATTCCCCTCCTAAGTTACATCTGATAAACTGTAGATTTATGGTAAAATGAGCTATAGCTAGTAAAATGAGATTAGTGTTAGGTTTATACCTTATAAAAATTTCAAAATGAATTTAGGCATCATGCTATTAAGACTTGATGTTCACATAGCTTATCTAAGCATAATCAGCCATTGACCATGGTTCATAGTGCTTGGAGGTTTCCTTTAGTATTTCCATAATATACTACTTCCTCATCTTCAAATCTGTTTTTCACACTTGTTATTTTTCTTTTGTTCAGTGTAACTGCAAGTAGTATCATTTTCTACTTTTTTTCAGTACATAATTTTCCAATGCATATTGCAGCCACATTTTGGCCTAGCTAAACTAGGCTTAGTCACTGTTTTATAAGTTAAAGATGGGAAAATGTGTCCAATTTCCAAATAAGTATTAATTAGTATTTTAAAATATCCTTATTATATAAATTAGAAATTCTAAGCTTATAATTCCAGAATATTTGCTGATTTAGTAACTTAGTAGTATACTTCCCTTTATAAATATCAATCATTTTGTCTTTGACTCTTAGTTTAGCAAAATCTTTCTCCATGTTGTTAACGTATATTGTGAAAAGAATAGTTTTGCTTACTATCTCCTTCTGTTCTAAACCTTTTTACTCTGGTTTTAACATGTATGCAGTGATGTCACTGCTTACTAGGAATTGTTTCTTTATGCTTCTCAGTCTTATCCTTTAGTGTCCCAAAGTTTGTGAGGCATTTGTGAGGGATAAAGGATTTCCCATCTTTATCTATTCACCATGTGAGCTGTTCTAGTGACAAATGAATTCTGGGCAGTGAATCGAGAAGGACACAGATGTCAAAGCCATGAATTTATAAATGGTCTGTTAAGAGGGTGCTTTGTCCAATCAGCACTTTGTTAATTTCACCTACAAGAAGGAGTAATTATTCAATTATGCTTCTATCTGACAAAAATCAAAAGACAAATGTGTCAGAATGTGAAGGTAAAGGGTCAGATTCTGGCAGGTGGCCCAAAATTTTAGCCAGCTGTGAGGAGGTGGATATGGAACTAGACTGACCTATAACATTGATTACAGGCCCTTTATGAATATTCATAGCTCTTACTAACAAAGATTAAAAATAATTTCATTTGTCAATGCTAACAAATACAAAACTTTTTTTTTCTGTATCTTTGTGAAATATAATTAGCTTGAAAAATGGACCTCAACATTAGAATAAGTAAAATCAGATTCCTCCTTAGTTTGTTTCTTCTTAGTACCAAAATATTTTTTAAACATTTGCAAACTTATTGTGGTAAATTGTAGTTTTTCCTGATGAAAAAGTTATCCTTACTTCTTAGTAGTATTGTTAGTATATCATATTGCTTAATATAGAGCCTGAGATCCCCAAACTTTTTCTACAGAAGGCCAGATAATGTATTTTCAGCTTTGTAACCCATACAGTCGCTGTCCAAGCTACTCACCTTTGCCACTGGAACACCGTGTAGCCATAGACCATAGGGAAATAAATACGGATGGCACTGTTGCAGTTAAACTGTTTACAAAAACAGCCAGGGGGCTGACTTTGATCTATGGACCATAATTTGCCAGCCTTGATATAGAGACTGATGATACTTTAAATTTTTTTCACTAAGATTTTTAATAATTTCTGAAATAGAAGAACTCTGTGGGCTATATTAAGTAATTTGAATGTCAGTGCACTACACCACTCCAATATTCAGTTTCCCATAGACTACAGAGTGACTGATACTCCCTGAAGTAGTACAGTATGGTGGCCCTGATAATGACCTCCCTCATACATTTCTCCCACATCTATATCAGCGGTATCCGTATCTGGCCTGCTGCCTGTTTTTGTAGATAAAGTTTTATTGGAACATAGCCAAGCTGATTTATTTACATATTATCTGTGGCTGCTTTCACAGTACAGCAGCAGAGATGAATAGTTTCAACAAAGACCATATGGCCCACAGAACCTGAAATAGTTACTTAACAGAAAATGTTTGCTGATCCCTGATCTGTACCGTTACTATATTCCTCTTTAAGTATGAAATTACAGGGCAAAATATGGGAAACTTGTATGATTGTCTTATTAAGTCCCACAAAGGATATCTAAAGAAATTGCCAAATACCTAAAGTTGCTGTTAAATTCGAACTCTTCATTGTTTCTGATCTAAGGACCTGGTTTGAGAAACTAAACATACTTCCATGTAGCTGATACTCTTGCTGGTTCAGCATATTCAATAACAAATCAGATTCTTTGAAGAATTTGTATTATCAGGAATTTAAACACAGTCAAGAGGCTTACCGTGTCTGTGAAGGCAGAGAGTAGAAGTAACTCACCTTGCATGACAAGTTGGCTCTAGCCCAGTGCAGCGGTCACATCTAACTCGCATGCCCTCTTAGGGATGACTTGAGAAATTTCTTCTCAGTGACATAGCACCAAGTGTTTTTTCTGGGTATCTCATGTCAGGCTTTAAAGGAGCCATTGCTTTGATGCCAGCAGATCTTATCGTGGGCTTTATTTGGAAGATAATGTAGTGCTGCTCTCATTGAATAATAAATTCCTAAGGCTGTGGATAGAAACATGGAGCTTAAGGGAAGAGGAGAATTACTTCTCTGCTGTTTAAATCCCAAGGCTGGTTAATAATCATGAAATTATTTCTTTTGTGCATTTCTTATGTACATACGTACTTGCTTTCAGTTTATTTATATAAGAAAATGATTTGTATTTTAATTCATGAATCCCCTGAATCTTCTTTGAAGGACAAAGTTAACTTTGTTATTTATTTGTCAAAGGAAAAAATTAAATCAATATTATTTTTTTAATTTGGTGTTATACAGGCTTTTTTATACCCTTATGATTGATTGGACTAGAGTTTCTTCCTGAATCACTCTCTTCCCTCACCTCTCTTCACACTTATTCTCTTGGTTTTGTTCTTCAGTGGCCACAGCTTTTCAGCCATTTATTACCAGTCTCCTTTTCTTCGATACGTACCTTAAATTCTCGTATGTATCATGTACTCTCCCTCGATGACCTCATGAGCTTGCATAACTTACACTTCCATTCATATGACGATGGTCTCAAATTTGTAGCTTTGACCCAGATCATCTCTTGAGTTTCAGGCCCATCTATTCAGCTGCTTATTGGATATTTTTACCCATTTGTCACATAGCATTGGACTTTCATATTCCTCTTGAATCTGCCCTTATTTATTCCCTAAAGTATTGGTTACTACTATAATCTGCCCAGCTGCTAAAACTAAAACCCTGTGAGCTCTTTCTCCTAAATATCCCTTGAATATGCAGTTGATCCCTTGAACAATGTGGGAGTTATGGGCATCAACCACCCTACCCCCTGTGTAGTAAAAAATCTGCGTAACTTTTGACTCCCCCAGAACTTAACTACTAATAGTCTCCTGTTGACTGGAAGCCCTAACAATAACACAAACAGTCTATTAATATGTGTTTTGTATGTTGTGTGTCTTATATAGTGTATTCTCACAATAAAATAAGCTAGAGAAAAGAAAATGTTATTGATAAAATAATGAAAAAGAAAAATACATTTATAGCACTATACTGTATTTATCCAAAAAAAAAAAAAATCCATGTGGAAGTGGATCCGCACAGTTCAAACCTGTGTTGTCCAAGGGTCAGTTATATGTATCTACCCCTTTCCATTCCCACAGTCGTTACTCTACTTCAGATCATCTGAGTTGTTACAACTATCTCTTATTTGGTCTCTATCTTAATCTTGCACCTTCCCATTCATTCTCCACAGTATACTCCATCTGGCTTTCCCAAAACCAACATCTGCTCAAGTTGCTACCTATGTAAAAATTTTCACAGGCTTGTCATTATTCTTAGAATAAAATCCAATTTACTAATATGGTTTATGCAGTCATGTTTTCTTTGCTCCCTTCTTACCTTTGTAGCCTTATAGCTCACTTTCTCTTAAATTGGAGCATATATTAATTGTGACCCTATGTGCATAGTGTTTGCTCTACCTAGAACACTCGTTCTCTCCCTACTCCTAACTTAAGTGGTTTTCAGTTCTTATTTTACATAATATCCCTGTACCCCTGCTATGGCCAAATCTGAATTAGCTATTTTTGCTGTGAGCTTCCCTAGTACCTTATACTTCCCCTTGCTTAGTATTTATCATATCGCAAGTAATTGTCCATTTATTTATCAAAATTGTCTAAATATACGTTTCCTGAGAGTGGGGACATGGACATGGATCCACAGTCTATAAATGAGAATAACTTCCTGGCACATACTGGATGCTCATAAATATTTCCTCTTTTAATAAATAAGAGAGGTTAATACAAACCAGTCTTCTACACAACTATAAAATTCCATCATATTGTTTTTTACATGTCTCATATCTTCTTTAATGATGTTTCTTTCTGTATGTTTCAGAGTAACGTATAAAGATTTAGTATCTTTTTAAAGTCAGCATATTGTAAGTTTAATATTAATATGCTCTTTTCATGTTTATTTAATTGGGCCATCTTGTTTTAATTATTGTAATAGGAACTTTATTTTAACTGTGCCATTACCATAAGAATTTTTTTTAAGAAGCTACAAGATGGAACTTGGTTATTTACTCTGATCTACACCTCTGTTAACACCCCACTGCTAGTAATCAACTGCTAATAATTCATACTGATGATTTTGCTGTTTATACTTAGTCTTTTAAAGTATATCTTGCCATAAAGGGAGATACTGGTACACTGTTGGGTATTTTATGTGTTACAGTGTACCCTGATATTTGCACCATCAGCCTTGTGGCAGTAAGTGATACGAATAAGCATGCCGATAGAATTGCTTTTTGGGATAATGTTTATGGCTTCAACATGTCCTGTATGAAGAAAGCAGTTATTCCAGAAGCTGTTGTGGAAGTTTTAGATCCAACAACTGTTATTTCAGATGCTTGTAGTATTAAGGTAGGTGTTTTTACCAATTTTATTTTAACAGAATTGCCATTTTTATTAGGTTTTTTTTATGAGTTCAGTATTTAAAATTAATATGTTGATATTATGTGTGGTCCTTCAAAACAGTGATTATTCTCCATATATTAATCTGTCGAATGCACCTTGAGGTAATGATATTTACCAGTTGATTATATCAGCCTTTGGAATCACTTCTCTTTGTTTTGAAATTCATTATACCAAAGGGCTTGAAGGCTAAAAGTCACTTCTGCTTCATCACCACCTCCCTGGCCTTATTCTGGTTTCTCCTTTACAGCCAGATTATTCATTCAGATCATGTATTCTACACAGTTTAACTTCTCACATTCACATTTCGTCCACTTTTTCAGGGTAAATAATAACAGTGAATTTGCCTATGAAACTAAAGTCCTAACTTCAGATTTCTTGGTTAATTCCTTTTGTGTTTTAAAATCTTATTATTCACAGGGTCAGTCTCTAGTTTTATTGCAAATTTTGCTGTGTCAAATTTACGTGGGGTAAATAATAACTTTGCAATGAAAAGTCATATTGCTTCAATTAGATATAAATAAATATTGTTTGTTCAGTTTCAGGTTCAGAACACTGTCTGCTTTTTATAGTCACACTGTTACTTTCATAGCATCAATAATTATTCTCTGCATAAAATGGATATTCAGTAAATATTTGTTAATTTTCTTAATAGATAAACTATTTAAAGTTGGCATAGAATAATAAACATGTAAAGTTTCTCAACAAGAGCAAGCTGATTAAAATTGCTTTTAGCTTTTAAGAAAATAAAAACTATAGCTTGTTAATGATTATAGGACTGTTCAGTGCTATGATACACTGATAGTAAGAGATTTATTTGGATTCTTTAGTTCAAGGTAGGAGAGTACAGTTATAGCCAACTCAACCTCAAGGCTAAGCAAAAAGAGGAGAGTTGTTGGGGGTAGGGGCTAATTTTTCTTTCTATGATCACTTTGTTTAATGCCAAAAACTAGTATGAATAAGTAATTGAAATAGAAGATTTTAGACTGAAAACCAAGGTGTTTAAAAGGTACACATATGCTTTCTCTTTTTTTAAACATTAATTGATCATTTGTTTGTTTAGGTAAATATGGTTTGTTCCCTGTTCCACAGTTCTCTACAAATAAAAGGCAACCACACTGTAACTTCTTTTAAATTTTCTCAAGCTCCTTTAAAGAGGGTAATGCCTCAAGCATATAGTTCTGTATATTGTGTATGCTGTGTCATAATCTGTTCATGGCAAGTCAGGCCTCCACAGCATCCCTCCTGGTTTTACTGCCATGGCTTATCTCCGTCTGCTCTCCATAGTCAAGTGAAGAAGGACTTGAACTAGGGCAGAACAGGAGCATAAGGCTCTTTGGCCATTTTTTTCCTGAGTTGAATCTTCATAGTTGGTTTGGCTCTTTGGTTTTAACTGTTATGGTTTTTCCTAATATCTACCAAACTTATCTTCAAATCCAGTTACAAAAAGGAATTCTGAAACACCTTATCCTTTTCATTGCCATATGTGTTCAAGTTGGCATTTCCTATGAAAATGTTGACTCTTATCATGCATAATTTATACCAAATGTATACAAGAGTCATGACTTGATGTATAGTATTCTTACAGGAAGTCTAACTAAAAATACTAATTTGGTTTAAATAAAAATTAACTAAATGATAGTGCTTGTAGCCCTTAAATTTGGAAACAATCCCAGAAGTGGGGTTTGAATGATTAAACCTTACCAAACATTGGTTTACAGTAATCCTTTTTGCATAAAAAAGAAGTGATATTTATCTGTTTGTTTTTGGTTTTGTTTTCACTATTTTTACTAAATTCTTCCCTCTACTCTTTTTTAACGGGTAGCAAATAGATTGCCATACAACGTCTGTCTCAGCTTTGGAGTTTTCTTCAGATTTTACCCTGAAAATTACAAAGACATCCATGTGCACGGTAAGCTCTTTCATTCTATACTCACAAATTTCACTAGCAGTGCAGTTGATTGGCAGGCTAATGAATTAATTACCAGATTTGTGATAAATGGAAAAGACTATTGCCTTTGACAGTCTATCTTTGCCTTTGTCAGGCTATTGAGCAGATCTGATTTGATAGGTCAGTAGACTTTAAAAAAGTTAGTTTAGTTCAAAGGACAAAGTCTTAGGACACTATGTTTGCATAATGATTTTTTTTATAAACTCTTCTTTGTTGCCTCTCATGTAACTAATTGAGAACACTCATCTTTATCCTCATAGAAGTTCATGTCCACAACCCTCATAACTCATAACATTCAGTGTAGATGGAAGTAAAATATGTATATTTGGTATAATATTTTATATTCCTGTGTGAGACATAATAAGCTGATGATTTACCTTTCTGTAAAGAAGATTGGGGTGTAACAGAAAAGGTATGAGCATTAGAAAAGTTAGACAAATCTGGATTCACATTTGGTTCTGCCAGTCACTAGCTTGTTAACTTTATTCAAGTTACCTAGATTGTAATCTGTACCTCAGACTAATCAGCTGCTTTAAGAAAAATGGTAATAATTTCTGTCTTAAAGACTAATTACACAGATTAATGAATTAATATATGTGGGAAGCACCTAAAAAGTAGCCAGAAAAGTTATTAAAATATATTAATATTTTTTTCTTAAATAATATATAAATGTATATTAATACTAAGATAACAATATTTGTTTTTGCCAGAAGATTAAAAGGTTAATAAAATGTGGGCCTTTATTTAAGAATGTATGTATTTACATAGGTGATATTGATATATTTATATTATTTAAAAAATTGTATAGGCTTTGGAATACTAATCCTGAGTTGAATCCTCCAACTATCTTCTGCTCTTTGAGGCAGTGCCAGCTCCTTACACTCTTTTGCCTATACAAGATTACCTCTACCTGGGCGCCTGGGTGGCTCAGTCGGTTGAGTGTCCGACTTCAGCTCAGGTCATGATCTCAAGGTTTGTGGGTTCAGTCCCCACGTCGGGCTCTGTGCTGACAGCCCAGAGCCTGGAGCCTGCTTTGGATTCTGTGTCTCCTTCTCTCTCTGCCCCTCGCGCCTTCATGTTCTGTCTCTCTCTGTCTCTCAATAACAAATAAACGTAAAAAAAAAAAAAAAAAAATTTTTTTTTTTTTTTAAAACAAGATTACCTCTACAGAATTACAATTTGGGGGGCACCTGTCTGGCTTAGTCAGTTAAGCATCCGACTTCAGCTCAGGTCATGACCTCATGACTCATGAGTTCAAGCCCCACGTCAGGCCCTCTGTTGTCAGTGTAGAGCCTGCATTGGATCCTCTGTCTCCCTCTCTCTTTGCCCCTCCCCCACTCTTTTTCTTTTAAAAAAATTCACTAAAACTATATAGTTAGGAACTGTGTGAAACAGGTTATAGTTATGTTCACTTGAACTCTTAAATCTGATTTTTTAAAACATTGACACATAAAACACTTTATGGCTTTTTAAAAATTGTTTCAGTTCATTTTCATCCAATAATTATTTTATATCCAAATGAGTTTAACAATGTGCTTTGATGTTTTGAGGAATTCTTTTTGATAAAGTTGGTTTTACCTTTTTTAAAAGGTAAATATCTAGATTGCAGATTTATGATTTGGGGCAATCATTATATTCATTTAACTCATAAAAACAAAATTTCATTCTTCCCATTCATTCCTCCCATATTTTCTAATTGTCCTTTTTAGTAACTGAACTGATTTGCTCAATTGAAACTATAGGCTAAAGGGTTTAACTCCTAGATTTACTCTGTGTTTTGATGTTAGTATCTTTGAGAGTTTAAAATAAAAAAGCCTCTAGATTAATGACAGTTGATCAGTCTATAAAGGAATTCTTAGATAGAAAATGCCATATTACCAATATTATTAAATAATAATATTTCAAGCGTACTTCAGTATCCTTCACATGAATCAAAGGAAAGCAAAGGTAAAACTGTAGTGAAGACCTCAAAAGCTGTTTTTAGTTGTGTATATTTTTTAACATTATGTAGACAGATGAGTTTATTGAATTTTTTTTTTTTTAATTTTTTTTTTTAATGTTTTATTTATTTCTAGGAGAGAGAGAGAGAGAGACAGCATGAGCAGGGGAGGGTCAGAGAGAGAGGGAGTCACAGATTGAAACAGGCTCCAGGCTCTGAGCTGGCAGTCAGCACAGAGCCCGACGCGGGGCTCGAACCCACGAACCGCGAGATCATGACCTAAGCGAAAGTCGGACACTTAACCGACTAAGCCACCCAGGCGCCCCGAGTTTATTGAATTTTTAAAAAATGTTATTTATTTTTTGGGATATTGGTCAAGGTTCTTAGTTTCAGACAACAAAGTCCAAATCACTTGTTAAAGCAGAAGGGGATTTACTAAAGAGTTAAATAACATAATTTCCAGACACATTGGAAGAGGTAAAGGAATAGTCTATATTTTGAACTTCTAGAAAATACTCTTTTTTTTTTATTTTTATTTTTTATTTTGAGAGAGAAAGAGCATGCACATGCGTGAGCAGGATGGGGGCAGCAAGAGAGGGAGAAATTGAGAATCCCACGTAGGCTCCGCACTGGTAGTGCAGGGCTTGATACAGTGGCTTGAACTCCTGAACCACTGTAAGATTATGACCTGAGCTGAAACCAAGAGTCAGATGCTTAACCAACTGAACCACCCGGGTGCCTGTAGAAAATACTCTGAAAGCACATCTGAAAGCACATCTTAGCATTAGCCTGCCACAAAGCTGCCTTCACCACTGCAGGCCCTATAAGCCCGAATGCCCTCAGCCCACTCAGTAAGTGGTAGCCACCGCTGTCAATCCCAGATGAACAGAACTCTTACTACCATTCTGTTCTTATCCCCCTTGCCCCAACTCATGCTATCCAGTTCCTCCTTACACATCTTCATTCAGCATATCTGTTTGGCTACACATAGATCATGTTATACCTTAGCAGTTACAAAGTCTTGGAAAGTAGTTTTAGCTGTAGTAGTGTTAATGCTACAGAAAGAGTTTCACAATGCATATATAGAACTCTATTCTTATTATTTGCCATAGAGTACAAGAAACTTTATGTTGAAAGAAACTGTATTTATCCTTTAATGATCTTTGTTTTATTCTGTGTATTTAAAAGAGTAAAATAGAAATAAAACATGAAAAAATCTGGTAAAGTCTAACACAAAGATTGTAATCAAAACCTTTTTATTAAAGAATATATCAAGTAAGTATTTGCTGCATTTGTTCCTATACAATCAGCGTTCCATAAGAAAAATGAGTAAAAAATAAACTGTTATCTTATATCTGTAAAGAACCTTTTAGATTTATATTTTTATTTCCAACTTGCCTGAATGATTTTAATGTAAAAATCTGAAAATGCGATAGGTCTGGGGTTTAGGAAGAAAGTGGCAGAAGACTGGAGTGGACTTGTATGTGTCTGATCACTGCTGAGAACATGTTCTATAACTCACCTTGAGAGGAATGTGTAGTTTCAAACAATATATATTGAATGTGTGCCAGGTACCGAACATACAAATTCTAGGACTTATTCAATGTTAACCCTGCTGAGATTATTCTGTCAAATAATTAGTCAATATAAGTTGTCTTGGTCATAATGTCTGAGTCATTCAACACTTGCATGTCAAGCAGTGTGCTCATCACTTTAAAAGCATTATTTCATTTGGTCTTCTTAATAATCTGTTGAAGTGGGCACTAGTATTCCCATTTTATGGATGAAGAAAAATAAATCACTACGTTTTACTTGCGAAATATCTTGACCCCAGAAGACCTCCTTGGTAGGATTGAACAAACTATTAAAGGAACATAAAGAAAGTCAGGAATGAGATAATTCTGATGTGGAAGCATTCCAGGTAGCCTGTTGCATTTGAAACAGATCTGTAAAATCTAAACCATGTTGCACATAAAACGGATATGAAAAATGTGATTCCCAGCCAGTGGTCTAGCAGTTCTTGGGGGAGAGAGAAAGAGAGTGATCAAAATGCACTCTTTCTCCAAGATAAGGCTGACAGATTTATATAATAAAATAAGTCACATATCCCATCATCCTCTTTGCTGCAGAGAAAAGGTAGATCTTTAAAAAATTTTTTTCTTGGGTCACCTGAGTGGCCCAGTCGGTTAAGTGTCCAGTTTCAGCTCAGGTCACGATCTCATGGCTCTTGGGTTCGAGCCCTGCATCGGGCTCAGAGCCTGGAGCCTCCTTTCGATTCTGCATCTCCCCCTCTCTCTCTCTGCTCTTCTCCCACTCACGATCTCTCTCTCTCTCTCTCTCTCTCAAAAATAAATAAAACATAAAAAAATTTTTTTTTCATCACCCTTTCAGAGTAAATACGTCGTTATTTGGTCAAGCATCTACATTTCTTGCAAACTTTCTTTACTTCCCAGCATGCTTATCCTAACATGAGCGTGGCAGAGTAAGGTTTTGTGGCCTGCAATGCCTTTATTACATTTGAATTATTTGTAGAGTTCCAACTGCCCAACCGTATCTACTCCAACTATCTTCTGCTCTTCGAGGTGGTGCCAGCTCCTTACACTCTTTTGCTACCAACCATCTGGAGCTATTAGGCAAGCTTAGTCTCTAAGGCTACTTTTGAATAGATAGATTATTCGCCTGGTTACTTGGGAATAATCCATAACAAAGATATTAAAAAGGATGAGTGCCTAATTGGAACTTTGTTTCTCATTTATGTTATAAGAAGAATTAGTGAAAATACTAACAAAAAACAATGCCTGGCAAAAAGATGGAAAGAGTTACTTTGGGGAGAAAGAGGTGCAGCTTTTTTAGATGGAATGAAGAAAAAGGTATCTAGTTTTACATTGCTAAGTACAAACCTTTAAATAAAATAAATACTTCTTTTCTTGGGCTTAAAACTTGAATGTGTAGCCAAAAAAGTAAGATGGATGATTTCTCTGAGTAGTTAAGCCCATTTTAAATATATGCATAACCATTTATT